GAATTCTTATAATTCTCTCCAAGTAATTCAGATGCAACAGTGTGAAGGCCCAGCATTTGTAGACACTTGTTTTCCAAACTTTCTAGGTAACTGTGATAAGGGAAATAAGGCCATTAATGTGCAATGATGCATAGATGTCCAAGACTTTAAAATGCAAGTTGTAGAAGAAATGCATTTGAAATATAGTCAGTATTTGCTTACTATTTTTGGGAGCGGATATAGACGAAATCTTTGAGGCATATGCCCAGCCTCTAAGTCCCCCATCCTGAGCTTCTCTGGAAACATCCCTATTTCCATTATCTGGGGTAGAACCCTAAGAGTCATATTTTTCTACAGGGTGAGGAGTACGGGTTAGAGCTATTAACCAAAGTTTTCTCTCCTTGTCAGCGTTTGACTCCACAACAAATCAATTCACAACCCTCATCTCTTCAGTCATAGTGATCAAACTACCTTAGAGGGAATTCACGCTGTTGGCAAGGATGCACAGAAAAAGCAATGCTTAGCTTTTAAATGACTATATGAATTATTAAGTATATAAAATAAATGAAAATCTTGAAAACCAATCTTTTTACTGCAATAAAACCAACCAAACCCATTGCCATCGAGTCAATTCCGACTCACAGCGACCCTATAGGACAGAATAGAACTGCCCCATAGGGTTTCCAAGGAGCGCCTGGTGGATTCGAACTGTCCACCGTTTGGTTAGCAGCTGTAGCTCTTAACCACTATGCCACTAGGGTTTCCTTTGTACTGATATTCAAAAAGAGAAAAAAAGAGTATTTCAGACTTTGTTTCAGTCTAAAAATGCTAAAAGCTTAAAGAACTCAAGAACATCACTCTATACCATGAAGAGCAGTATAGAAAAGACTAAAGCATGGCTTATGAGCCAATCATGTGCAGCATAGACAGGAGTAGTTTTGGAGAGACAACGAGAAGAGCTGTAGAATATATGGCTGGTAAGTGTTTGGGAGAGGGGACCATCTCTCCACCTTTTCCTGTGATGAGCTGCAGGTTGATTTAGGGGAATCCCAGTGAAACTGATGTCCATTCCCAGATTCCTGGGGTCTAGATGGGGAAGATGACAAGGCCCACTGTGAAACCCTGAGTGCCCACAGGGCAGAGGAGAAATAGGGGGAGGAGTAGTACCCCTGGTATGAGCCCCCCAGATGCAGCCCAGCCTCCTGAGGCTCCCTTAGTCTAGAGACTTCTAGGACAGTATCCAGAATTGTTCTGTGCCATTGAGGCAAATGGAAAAGCACCTGAGTGAGATCCAGGAGACCAGAAGGGACTTTATGGAAAAAAAAAAAAAAAAACCTATGCCATTGGCAAATGTTGCATACTACCAGCTAGATTTTATAGTAAGAGAATTCAGCAGTGGAGGCAGAGGAGAGAGGTCAGTGCACCAAAAGTAGATGAGAAATACTTGCCAGTAGATGTCGGCAGAGGCCAGAACTTGATCAAGAGCCAAAGGCTCTCTTTCCAATACCCAAGATGGTATAAACCTCTCACACCCACCTCACTTCCTTTCTAACCTTAGAGAAAAGTCCCGGGGAGGAGGAAAGAGAGACGTCACTAGATTGAAAGTGATTAGTTCAATTAGGTTGAACTTTCGTACTGATATTCAAAATCTTACGAAATCTCCCTCCAACGTGCTTTTACCAAATATATCCCCGTAACTTCCATACACAAACCCATTCATTTCTCCACAAATGTCTTGTGTGTTTTTCCTTCTGCATAGCTGCTAACAACATTTCTCCTTAGCCCTCTGAGTTTCTCGGACTACCCCTTATTTATATCACTAACACTGAACACACTGCCTAATATATAATGGATGGCCAGCCAACACTTCCGAGTGAAACAATGAATAAGGTAATGAGTTAAAAACGAATGACTAAAATGTCTCCCTGTTTGAATCTTATCTGACTGCCAAGGAACAGCTGACGTCCCATATTTTTCTAAGAAGGAATTAGGCATCATTTCAGTCCATATTTAAACTCCTATAACATATTGCCAATCATTGCTATTTGAACCATTACCTTGTATTCTTTTGTTAACTATATGTGCTTATATTCTCATGTTTGTCTGGACACGTGATCATCTCCAAAAGTATCTTCTTGAGGACAGGCATTGTACTTTTGGTGAGGATTAAATAAAGTGAATAAATGTAAGCTCTTAGACCCCTATTTTCCCCCCTATTTTTCACAATACCAGCCAAAACAGAAAAAAAGCATGGTAAGGCAGTAAGTATAACCAAAACTATATCTTCTTCAGGATTCTCAAGAACTAAGAGGATAACTGAGTTCAATGATACTTGTCAACTCTTTCCTTAGAGCAGGGTGCAGGAAATTTTCACAGATTGTTTCCTGTTGTTTTCACGAGGGATGTTTACAGAGAAGGAATGTGCATTAAAGAAAGCAAAGGTGAGAAGGGCAAGGAGCTGGTCTTCAGCTGTGTTGTCACTCTCAGACCAATTATGTGGCCAACTCTTGGGCCGATTAACACTTGCACAGCATTTAGTAAGTTTTAGTGGGTGATTACCAAGAAAATGCAAGCTAGCATTATTGGTAATAATCTAGAATCATGATCTGATTTTTAGCACTCACGCAAGTTAAACCAGGAAAACTATATTTGGAAAGCAACTTAAACACTTAAGTGTTTTAAGTCTGGAAAAATTCTATAAATAAATGTACTAATTTTGCTTTTCTAAGCTACTCTTTCTTTATTCTCTGAATTCTTTTTTTATTCTCTGAATTCAAAATGTCAAGTAGGCAGTTGATCTGGAAGCAATAGAGAGTGTACTGCACTTTATAAAATTTTCAAAATAATATTTTTGTAGAATCAGTGATCAAAGTAGGTATCAATATAATAAAGAATGAAAATGAAAAATAGTTGCATTCGTATTTCAGAAGACTTACATTTTTTATCTTTACATTTACCTTTTTACATTTTGCACTTAGTATTTTTTTACCCTAAAAGCAATATTGTAGTCTTTCACATATTTTCCACAAATCCTCAAACATTACATATGTCTGCTCAGCACATTTGCATTGATTTTGTTAATGCTTATCAACATAGTACTCCGTTCCTGGTTTTCACGATTTCCATCTCTTTTCTGTTATATTCATGTACTAAAACAAAGGAACACTAAAACAAAGGACTATCTTCGGAACAATAAATTTTAATTCCCTCTCAAGCATAGATTTCCATAGGAAAAAGCTAAATTTTTGAGGATCAATAAATAGACTTCTATTACATATCCTCTTATTAATATCAGATTCATTTTTATTATTATTATTCATATTTTAGTGAGTGGATAATAATTTTTTTTCTTAAGTATATCTGAAATTTAACTTTGAAGAGTTTGAAAAAACTCTGGTTTTCGCACGTTAACTTTGAAATAGAAGTTATTTTATTTTTTTGTAAAATTACTTATTTTTATGCTGATGAATTTAGTGTAAAGACACTCTACCTACTTTTCAGTGTGTGTTTAACACATTCACTTTCCATGTAAATGAGGACAGTAAATGATGTTGTGCCAAACACATATAATTAGACCCCTCACAATTCAAAGCCTTATTTTCTATCAGTAGCTACCTAGAATAACTCAGTACCAAAGCCAGTCTTTAAAATATGCAAGCATGATTTATTTTCTTTTTGCTAATTTTGTTATATAGTTATAATACGATGCTCACCAATGTCTCTGCTGTCCAGGCTTAAAGCAAACATAAATGGTTGATGGAAAACGAACTAATTCCCTTCATGCAATCGTCGCTAATGGCTGACAACTAGGTGAGGTTGTTAGGGACGGTCAGTTAATTTTACTTTTCACGAGACCATCAGTTCCCGAAACACTCCCTGGAGCCACAGCTAAAAGGCTGAAATAGTTGTCTGAGGGAATTAAAACTGGTTCTGGACTTAGAAATAGGACCATAGATCTCTTCATAAACTCCAACTTTTTAAAAAAAAATTAACTCAAATCACCCTCTTTACTTTTAAAATGTCCCTGAACCCAACAGTTGTTGTTGGGTGCCATTAAATAGATTCCAACTCACAGCGACTCCATGTGACAGAATAGAGCTGTGCACCATAGGGCTTTCTCCGCTGTGAACTTTATTGAAGCAGATTGCCAGGTCTTTCTCCCTCGGGGTGGCTGGGTGGGCTGAAACCACCAACTTTTCAGATAGCAGCGCAGTGCTTAATCTTTGGGACACCAGAGCTCTTTGAACCCAAGAGTACATGTCAATTTTACATCTTAGCCCTTCTTCCCTGTACTGCTAGTCTCGAGCAGCTGGTAACTTTGAACTCAGCACCATCCTACTGCTGTGAACATCACGGAGCCCTTGCCTATAAGCTTCTACTGTGTCTGAAATCAGCCAAAACCACCTTTCTAGTGTTCCCTATTTCCCCTGTTAGAGGCTTCCTTTGTAATATTATACATGTTATTTCCCTGTAATTGTTTCTATTATTGTTTTCTCTAATTTCATAACACCATTCCATTTTTTTATCTATATGATCACATTTTAAATTCATTCACTTGAGTGCAAATTTGTTATTTAGATTCACTTTGGATATTAAAGAGTATAACATTAAGAACATAATAAATTAAAATAACCTCTATAGAAATTCTTGGTTTCATTAAATAAAATACATAATCTATAACTTTAAAGAGAAATAAAACTCCGTTTTTTCGACAAAATCTGCATGGTCATATCCCAAACAGCAATTACTTCTACCTTTAATTCTCTTCTCCTTTTTTTCTCATTTTTTCTCATTATGTTTTGTAACCCCTGCCAAAATCTACTCTTGGAGCCTACATTCTTCTTGAATGTCTTCGTAGTACCTTTTAAAAACATTTCTATATGAATATACTTTTTGAAATAAATCTATGAAAACTTTATATAATCAGTTCACAGAAAAAGTCTCAGAGATTTTCAATATTTTGATAAATTATGGAGTACATCCAATTTTAAATGTAAAATAAGTTAAAGAAAATATCTTACCCCAAAAGTTTTCTGGCCATGGACTCCCTAAACTTGTTGTGTTATTAGCCATGATATCCACAAGAAATAAAAGAAAGAGAAGAAAAGAAAGAAAGAAAAGCCAATATGTCCAAAAGAAGCACTTTGATTCTATGTCTTTGTGGTTTAGCAAGAGAAAAGTAATTTTCACACAACCCCTCATATACGCGTGTTTGCATAAGAGGAAATAAGTGTATCATGTTTCCTGCTTTTATACTCAAATTAGCAACTGCTTTTTTCTTATCTTGGAATTCCACATGGTTCCTGAGACACAAAACAATTTCCTTCTCGTCATTTCCTCAGCTAAATTACTAAGCACCTTCTTCTCAGCCACCTCCAAAACTGCTTTTGGGATTAGAGGCTCTTTTTCTTGGTCTTTGTCCATCCCCCCTATACAAAAAAAGATTTCAAACACTCAGATTCAGAACTTTGGGTTAAATGAATGCAGGATAGAGAAAGAGATTCTTCTCCAATGTTTGAAAATTATATTTATATAGTAAACAAGGGAAAGAAAATTATTCAGAATTCCATATTCTCTTCAAGTACGATGAATTAGTTAAGCCTAACGTCCTTTTTAAAAATAAAATTTAATTAGTAAAATTCTTAACATGTCTCTTTCTCTGTATTGGTATATTAATTTTGAAAAGGCAGTTCTTCAGTTCATCTCATAAATATTTCCATAAAAAGTAACTTATACTTTCTATTACTCTTTCACTGGTATTTGAATAGGAAAAATAGTTTCTACACTGAAGGAACCTATTTAAAATCAACTGTGGGAAACAAATGCAAACATTCAATTACAGCAGAAGGTAAAATGCTATAGCAAATAGTTCAATGATTACAGTCATTTGTTTTTCATGGAGAGGTCTGAGAGGGGAGAGGGCTTTTGTACAGTGTATGAGAGTAGGGGAATAATTTTCCAGGCGGAGAGCAAGTGAGAAGGGATTGCATGCAAAAAGGAGAACAAGAAGAGATACCATTAAAACTCACACTGGATATATTCTGAGCGTGGTTGTAAGAGAATTGGCTTTAGGGAAAAGTTACATGAAACTTTTCAGGAGATGTAGATTAGTTAAAATTTCAAGAGGCTTTGTCTGAAAAATTCATTGGTTTAGACTGGATCCTATGAGCATTGGGAAGCCATTGGAAGTGGAAGTAACGATCCCGCATTTAAGAAATACACTAAACTTCATTCAATGATTCAGTTTTCTCAGTCTTTGAGTAACTCAGGGCATTGCATTGACCCTTATAGCCATTAGAATATAATTTAGTGTGAAGTAGTAATCATCTTTGTGCAATGTGTAATATATTTCTAAATAGTTCTAGAAAAATCTGGAAAAAAAATCTGAAGATTATCCCATATTAACTTCTGCAGTCCTAGTTATCCAAAAATGAGTTAGTTTCCAGTCATTTTCTCAATTTTTATAAATATAAGTTAACTATAAATATATTGAAAATAAAATATAGACAAAGAATAACAGAGTTATAGAAAATTTAGAGATTTCATTGAGCAAAAATGAAGAGATACCTCTATAATATTGTTGCTAAACTTTATTCCCTACAGAACCTAGTAGATAAAATATTCCTATTATTGCTTTAAAAAAACAAAAAAGGGCTCAAATATTCAACTATTATTTTTACTTTTTAATATTATTTACAAAGTTAATAAAAAATTAAAACATCTTATTTCTAAAAAAAATGCATAATCTGGATGCAAATATATTGAAGTATTATTCACTTTACTCTTCTAAAAACAGAGTGGGATTTTTCAATGAGTGTATGTATTTTTAAATGCACCGTTTGTACTAGGCTACCTGATTCAATAAGTACTACCTAATTTCAAAAATGTATATTATTTCATAAAGAATTACATAAACTTCATTTTACCTGAAAATGGCAATCCTAAATGAATGCAGTGAATGAGTTTGTCTGTCTAAACTGCCTTCTGTGCAGAAACAGAGCTCATTCCATGTTAGGGCTGGGATTTAGGCTGAGGTTTCCTTTCATTGTTTAAGGTTTCAGCCATCCACCTTTTCTCCTAAAATGTTTTCACTTTTGCAGATGATCGGAACCCTATCAAAATCTTGAAGAACACTTATTTTGTGCCAGTTTATGAGCTAGGAATATTTCTTCTTACACTTGTTTAGACAACCAGTTTTTATGCGTGTGTCGAATTTGCTGCGTAAAGATTTGTACTTTTCCTTGGCAGACATCCATACAAGTGAGTGTTTATGTCTATGTGATATTTGAGTCCCATGACTTGTAATGCCATAACAGGAAGTTGATTTTTATCTTTACAAAAATGTTAAGTCTGCTTCTCTACTGTTCATTATTTCACAGGTTGGGTCTTTAAATCTGGGTTCCCCAAGAGTCATAAAATTCATTTAGAGGTTGGTTCTTCCCTCAGATATTCACAGGACTTATTCTTCCGCCTCATTGCTGTCTCTGCCCAGATGTCACGTCTTCAAGAGGCATTCGTTAACCATCTTGTCTAAAGGGTCTCCACAGGAGTCACTCTTTTTCTCTTCAGAGCACTTATCAGTTCTTGCTGTTATGTTATAAATGCTTTCATTTATTTGTGTGGGTGTGTTTTTTGGTTTTTGAGATTTTTTTTGGTCTCCTCTGCCATAAGTACATTTGGTGCGGATGTTAATAATCTTACTTATCTTTGTATCTCTGTCCTATGGCTAAAATTGTGCCTGGACCACAGTGGGCTCTTAATAAATATTTACTAAATAATAGTCTAAAATAATTGGAAGAAATCTTAAGATGAAAAGAGGTTACACATTCCAGGCCAGGTTAATAATAATAATAATAAATCACTTAATATTTAAAACAAATTTATATGTATCTATTATTAGTCATTTTAATTTTTCTAAAAAATTTGAGTTATATTATTAATAGTCATTTCCATAGTTTTAAAATTTGCATAATAATTGGAGAGTTAAACGATACAATAGAAAGTTGTCATATTTAAGAAGCATTTATTTGTCTTAGTTACCTAGTCTTGTTCTAACAAAATATACCACAAGTGGGTGGCTTTAAAGAACAGAAATTTATATTCTCACAATCCAGGACGCTAGAAGTATGAATTCAGGGCATGGTTCTAGAGGGAGGTCCTCCTTTGTCTAATGCAGCTTGTAGTAGTTGCCTGCAATACTTAGAGCTCCTGTGCTTGGAGATGCATGTGTGTCTGTCTTCAAACGGTGGCTTTCTCCTGTGTATCTCTGTGCCTATGCTGCTCTTTGTATATGTGATTAGGTTTAGGACCCATCCTACACTAATGTGATCTCATTAACACAACAAAGGAAAACCCCAAACAGCAGGGACAGATTGCCCAATAAGCAAGGTACGCATGGTCTTATTTGTGTTTACTTACTAATCCGTAGTGCACAATTTCATCCATTTTTTACTACATCAAAGATGTGGTGAAACCCATGTGAAATTGTGCAGTACAGATTAGCAAGTAAACACAGTTAAGCCCGTTTGTACCTTGCTTACTGTAAACCTGTGCATACCTTGCTTACTGGTTAAGCTGCCCCTGCCAAACAGGGTCATATTTACAAGTACAGGAGTTAGAATTTCAACACATATTTTTGGGAGACGCGCAATTCAATCCGCAACAGTACACATTTGACCTTAAACTTTATTTTTTAGATTTACATTTTAAAACTGTCATGGATTTTGTCTTCCCCATGTAAAATTGATTCAAATGATTTAGCTAAACTAAGAGTGCTCTCAAAACGTATAAGGATAAACCAAAAAAAAAGAAAAGAAATTTTAAATCTATTTGAAAATAATTAAAATTTTAGAAAGGAATTTGGAGGATAAATTCAAAGGTAAACAAATTATCTTAACATATTTATGTCTTCTTTCTCCTTGGTTATGAAGGGACAGTCTTCTTTTTTCCTTTCTTCTTATATTAAATGACTTTGGTAGATGGATGCCAAAACTAAGAAAGACCAAACATAGAGGTCAAGTTATATGTTTGAAAATCAAACTGCTGGGATTTAAGATTTTCCAAATGGTAGCAGAGATAAAGATAATTTCTCAGGGTCAGGTAGGTTATTTTTTTCTCAGTAAATATGTCCTTATAAATGTTTGAGTGAGGCTATGGTAAGTGATAGAGCCCTGGTGGTGCAGTGGTTAAGAGCTCAGCGGCTAACCAAAAGGTTGGAAGTTTGAATCCACCTTCCACTCCTTGGAAACCCTATGGGACAGTTCTGATGAGATTAGAGGAAGGGGTCAACTCAAAGCTGAATCAGGAGAAGCAGAGCTAGAGCCACAGGGTAAGAGCGGTGGAGCCGAAGCTTATCCTGAGGATGACTGTCAGACCTTGTTGGCCAGGAAAACGCAATCTAGAGAAGAAATGTCCTGCAGAAAGAGATTTTCCCACCTTGCCTTACCTCAGAGATATGGAGGGAAGAAAATAAAGCTCCTCTGAGAATTTCTAACCCAAAGCCTCTGCTCACATGTGTGTTCACAAGCCTAAATTCAGAGTACCAAGAAACTTCTTCTAGCTTAAAATTTAAAGTAGTTAGCTGTGTTAGTAGTGATGAACATGCCTAGAGAAGCAAATTTTCTAAAGGAATACACTTTTAACTAAGGTCTCAAAGAACTCCTAGATATAAAACTCTAAGAAATATCAGTTGAGAATTAAAAAAAAAAAAAAAAAGCAAGCATATGTCACAGAACGACCCTTCAAAGATGTTTACACCCTAATTCCTGGAACGTGTGACTATGCTAAATTTCCTGGCCAAAAGGAAGGAGGTGTCACATGACCTGGGAAGATTTGGGGGTAGAGATGTGATCATGAGGATGATGATAATGGTGTTGATGGACCTTCCTGAGGGCCAGCACTTACTGAGGGATTACCCAGGCTCCATTCACACTACCCCTCAGCATCACTGGGTTCGTGGGCTGGGTCTAACCCAAGGTGGTGCGGGGGACTGGGCCTCATACAACAGGTTGGTTGCCCTGGGGATTTGGCAGAGGTGGGGACCTTGTCCACATCCCTGCCCAACCCCCTGAACCTTGGATGTTTGAGCAATTCTACTTTCAAAGGCCAGGCTTCCTGAGGCTGGCGGGGCTTGAGGGGAAACTGAGGGAATTTAACCCCCTAATGGAACATGGGTAGGGTGCAAGTGGAGTGTGGGAGAGGGCAGAAACCCTTCCAAAA